CCCTCTGTGGGCGGAGCTCCACCTAAATATGTGTTTTGTACTTCTTGACTGATGCCCCACCCTTAACAAACTTGACCTGGATTCTGTAGGCACTTCTTCACGTAGTACTGAATTTCGTGATATGTAGATGGGCAGCGAGACTCACACACGCAGGCGACCTGGCGCGTAATATATAGTAGGGATAAGCCATATGTTTCTTTTATAACAACTTCATGTTTTCTACAGAAATTATGTGAAATTACCAACTGAAATGGTGTTTCCGAAATAGTAGAGGGCAGCATAAAAAGCACATTTAAGGAGGCGATTTACAAGAATCTTGACGGCAAAAGTGTGATCCTGATCGCACATCGATTGTCCACGGTCGAAAAAGCAGACAAGATTATTGTAATCAATAAGGTAGGCTTCAGCCAAAACTAAAGCAAAGAATTTCCTCGCCATCAGATCGGTTAATTTGCAGGGTAAAGTGGAGCAAATAGGAACGCATGAACAACTACTCAAGCAACCGGGTACATACGCAACACTCGTTGCGAGGCAAATGATGGGCGAGCAACGACGACCACAGCGAGCCCAACTTATGGCTCCGACACAGTCCAGGTTCACTTCTGACTGAGCCTCAGTTTGAAACGATCTGAATATCATATTTCAGGGCGGTCAGCGTTAGCGGTAGTCATCACGTTGCACCATCTCTGCTATCCACGAGTTTCACGCACTCAGCGAGTAGTGTGACGTCGCGCTAGTCATGTCAATTGTAGTTTTTATTGTTCTTGTTGATTGATGCGAACTGTGTTGCTAAGAAATGCACTGCTTTACCTTTGCTCCAATTGCTAAAACCAGGTCGTCGGCACTTCGTTGCTCACATCTTTATTTGGTCATAAATTTCCAGATACTATGACTTCGGTGCAGACTACGAGAAGATCCCTTGTAAGGGGAACTAGGCTTTCAGTGTGGCATTTGTGAAGCAAAAATTCTTGATCATCATTTCAGTATCAATGTAACGTGCTGCAAATTCCCTCACCACCACAATGAGGGTAAGAAAGGATGCCATGGCTCAAAGAGAAAAAGGAGGTTCAAGACGAGACGTCGAGACAAAAAGTACCCTTTATTTCGGAAAACGAGAAGAGCGTCGAGTGCAGACCACACACCACAAGTGACGACGGCCAAGAAAAAAGAAAAGAAAATTTTTTCTTGGCCGTCGTCACTTGTGGTGTGTGGTCTGCACTCGACGCTCTTCTCGTCTGCCGAAATAGAGTGAACTATACCGGTGGGAAGGCGAAAGAACTTATTCTCCGACCAAATTTGAAGCGGAATTGATTATACTTTGCCTAATCCAAACCGAATGGTCTCCTACCTACTCTCCAATTTGAAAAGGACAATTTAGTCTATAAAATTTCATAACAACATTTTACGCGGGCGATATTAGAAAAATCTGCCACGGAAATATGGTGATAAAATCGAGTTAACGAGGTCCCTGGCATATCGTGGCTCACTACAAAATTATCTGAAACGCTATTTGGAAGAGGTCTTACACACCCAGAGCTTTTGTCTGATGCATCAGGGGCCGGCTACAATAAGGCTCGGCCAGGGGATGAGTCTCTGTCACCGGCCGGGGCCGAAACGACCGCTGGTCTCGACTTGAGGGTCATTAGGGTCATGGTCGTCTTAAATACTACAATGTATTCCTGATTGATGTGCTTTTGCTAGAAATTCGGGATCTGCGCAGAAAACCTTGCGATGTTGCCCGGCATTGGGTGACGTTGTCGTCAATGAGTTGAGCAAATAGCTTATATCTGAAGCCGAGTAAACGGTTGCATGACTCCCTACCGAAGTATCTACACGGTTCATTTTCATGGTGTT